CACCCAATCAGCCTAGTTTTCACGTCATGTGATTGGCTTGCGACAGCTCTAGTTGGCGGTGTAGTTGTTCAACCAGTGTTCACAGATCAAGTTAATGGCACAACCGCAATTGTCTAAATGGCTGGTGACTGATTAGTCAACGTCCCTGAGTGAATACATGTATATAAAATTATCCCATATTTACTCTTACATTACTACAAAGCATTTATTCAGCAGTATGGCCTTGCAAAGTTTCACTGAGAGAGAGAGAGAGAGAGAGAGAGAGAGAGAGAGAGAGAGAGAGAGAGAGAGACTGAAGAACAATGTTGAAGGGGGGCCACCCGGTTCCCAAGCTTGGACGAGATAAACCATCAAGGATTAGAGCTTGTTCGGCTGCACAGCTGTGTAAAACAACTCTCACCCTTCCAAGCACACAAGAGTGCATCTATATTATATTATTTGGATTGGCTACTTCACCAACACTCTCAGACGCATGTGTGTGCTTCCCCCTCCCTTCCCTTTAAAGTCTCGTGTAAAAGGGACCTCTTTTTTCAAAAAATTGAGGACTCGGCAGGTTGTATCGCAGAGCGGGTTGGAGATTGTAACTGGGTACAACCTGTCCGTTCTCTTGTCTTCCTTCCGTGTTTGTTGTTTATTAAATGTCGTAGGTTGACTCAACCTAACAATCCCCATAATCCTGAACAAGTTCCAAACTGTTTCTCGAGAGAGTGGCAAAATAAAAAAACTGAAGGATGTAGGGGCCACAAACATTCTTCACCTGTAGCGTATTAATGAATAAAAATAACTAACAACAAAAGTGAGTTAAGGGCTGCAAATGGGTCGAATTTGGAATGCCTCTTAGTTAAAAGGGAAGAATAGATTAATAAATCCAAAAAGTATGTGCATATGATGGATTGATTCAACCATATAGAATCCTCCTTTATTTCCATAAAGCCTGGTTGTCTTGCCTGTCATGTGTGCAGCAATGGCAGGATACGAGATCAGCTCTGCTGCGCTTGGTTGTGTTGGTCTATGGATTCTGGAACATGCCTGTGAGCATTTTTCAAATGCAGCTTTGTTGCCAGGAGATGGGCGCACACACACATACCCACGCACGCACGCACGCGCACACACACACACACACACACACACACACACACACACACACACACACACACACACACACCTGGACATGTATATGAGCCCAGATGGCAGCTTGTACAATGGCAGCTGGCAGATCTATCTATCTATCTATCTATCTATCTATCTATCTATCTATCTATCTATCTATCTATCTATCTATCTATCTATCTATCTATCTATCTATCTATCTATCTATCTATCTATCTATCTATCCATCCATCTATCTATCTATCTATCTATCTATCTATCTATCTATCTATCTATCTATCTATCGATCTATCTATCTATCTATCTATCTATCTGTCATCCTGCCTGCCTGTCTATCTGTCTGCCTATCGGTTTGTCTGTCTTCTGGTGAACACTTCACTGCTCGTTCACAGTGGCAACACCTCATTAGTACAATATGCAAATAAAGTGGCGCGGGGCCAGAGGGTCAGAGCACAAACTGGAGATGGAATAATAGTGTGAGGGTGCAAATGTGTGTGTGTGTGTGTGTGTGTGTGTGTGTGTGTGTGTGTGTGTGTGTGTGTGTGTGTGTGTGTGTGTGTGTGTGTGTAAGCAAACACAGAGGTCCGCCAGATCTGTGTGTGTGTATGTGTGCTTTTGAGTGAGAAATATGGAGAGCCTGAGAGAAAAATCTCATTCATTTTACACGACACTCACTGAGTTTGACAGTTTTTCTACATTGGTTTGGCTAATTTCTTGAAACAGAATTGACATTCTTAAAACTTAAAGGTCTTTTGGCCAAACAGTCTTTTAGTACTGCACAACAATACAACAATACAGCTCATTAGCAAAAGCTGATATGTCTTCCAAAACTGTTCACACATGCTTCAAACTAGATCCGTTTCTCAGACAAGAATCAATCAATATTGCAAAGATCCTTCTCAATTGCTTTGGATGATTTACATTCATACCTGCATACTTAATGTTTTTGCCAAAGATAGCACGGATGGTTTGACACCACACTATGGATTACTTACAAAAGCTCATAACGCTCCCAAAACAGTTCATCCTTGTGTCAATACTACATTCTTTTCTCATACAAGTAGTAATATTCCGAATTCATTATAAAACGAGTTGAACTGTGTTTCAGATCTTGTATCCTTCACTGGCGATACCGTAATTTGTGTCACTCCACCTGTTTTCACAATCACACATTACCATCAAAGAAGTATCGATTTCAGTGACAGATACAATAAAATCATGATGTGCCCGGAGGACGGGGGCTAAATTAGCATGTGGCATGTACAGAAGGTTAACACATCTTTCACACAGTTCTGAGATTTGGTGTTTGAATCTGAACTTCAGCCTGACTGTGTGGAGTTTGTATGTTCAACCCGTGCTTGCGTTTTTTTTCATCAGGTACTCTGGCTTCTTCCCACATTCCAAAAACATGCATGTTAGGTTAGTTGAAAACTCAAACATTTCCATATGGATGGATGGATAAATGTGAGTGTGAATGAAAATTGAAATTGAATTCTATTGTCATTGCACATGTCACAAGTACAGAGCCACCAAATGCATTGAACAGTTTCAACTCATCAAAGAGACATCAATGACCAACTTTTTTCCGATTCGATTTTGAATTTCGTCCATCCATCCATCCATCCATCCATCCATTTTCTACCGCATATCCGGGGTCGAGTCGCGGGGACAACAGCCTTAGCAGGGAATCCCAGACTTCCCGCTCCCCAGCTACTTCTTCCAGCTCTTCCCGGGGGATCTCGAGGTGCTCCCAGGCCAGCTGGGAGACAGAGACTCTCCTGGGTCCTGGGTCGTCCCCGAGGCCTCCTGCCGGTGGGACATGCCCGGAACACCTCACCAGTGAGGCATCCAGGAGGCATCCTAATCAGGTGCCCGAGCCACCTCATCTGGCTCCTCTCGATGTGGAGGAGAAGCGGCTCGACTCTGAGCCCCTCCTGGATGACCGAGATTCTCACCGTATCTCTAAGGGAGACCCCAGACACCCTGCGGGGAAAACTCATTTTGGCCACTTGTATCTGGGATCTCGCACTTTCACTCACGATCCATAGCTCGTGACCATTAGGTGGGAACGTAGTTCGACCGGTAAATTGAGAGCTTCACCTTTTAGCTCAGCTCCTTCTTTACTACGACAGACCAATACAAAGTCCGCATCACCGCGGACGCTGCACCGATACGCCTGTCGATCTCTCGCTCCCTCCTGCCCTCACTTGTGAACAAGACCCCAAGATACTTAAACTCCTCCACTTGGGGCAAGATCTCCTCCCTGACCCGGAGAGGGCACTCCACCCTTTTCTGACTGAGGACCATTGTTTCAGAAGTGCTGATTTTCATCACAACCGCTTCACACTCGGCTGCGAAACGCCCCAGTGAGAGTTGGAGAGTCCTGTTTGAAGGAGCCAACAGTACCATATCCTCTGCAAAAAGCAAAGATGCAATACTGAGGCCACCAAACCGGACCCCCTCAACGCCTCGGCTGCGGCTAGAAATTCTGTCCATAAAGGTTATGAACAGAATTGCCGACAAAGGGCAGCCTTGGCAGCGTCCAACCCTCACTGGAAACGATTTCAGACGTACTGCTGGCAATGCGAACCAAACTCTGACATCATGGTATTGGGACCCAACAGCCCGTATCAGGGGGTTCAGTACCCCATACTCCCGAAGCACCCTCCATAGAACTCCCCGAGGAACACGGTCGAATGCGTTCTCCAAGTCCACAAAGCAGATATAGATTGATTGGGTGAGCTCCCATGTACCCTTGAGGACATCAATTCACTGAGGTTTTCATACAAGTATCTTGACTTTCCGCCATTTATTTATTTATTTTTGAAAACTGCTCCTACCTTGGAGGGCAAAACTCACATCACTCAAGTCATGCGAGAGCTGGGTCACAGTTGTAAACCCTGGAAAAACTTTAAAAAAGAACTATCAGTTTATGAATTAGTATTTCACCAATCAAATATGAATCGATTTCAACCCAAAAATCCTTTTTTTTTTTTTTTTACCCAGCCCTACTAGTGTCACAAACTTACATGTCTTTCAAGTGATGAGCCGCCCCTTTCTTGTTTATATGCTTTATGTTGCAAGCCAACATTTAACTTCCAAACAAGCTTCAGATGAGCCGCTGGTCAAGTGAAGTGAAAAAAATGGTCAATCGCCGATACACTTTCAGCTATGTACACAATGTGTTTGATATATTTCAATGCAGTGCTGTTTTACGATTGTTTCTTTTTTTTAAATTAAAAACGTCACAAAAAATGGTGGTTGTGTGGAGGGCTCGGATGGATTATCGTTTCACTTAATTTTAACGGCTAAAATTGATATAAGAATGTATTGATGTTTTTTTGTTTCAAAACATGTTTTCTACTCCTTGGCAATTTGGCCAATATAAGGTCTTGACTGCACATATTAGACTGAACTTCCAAATGGGATCCTGTGAATATTAAATGATTACATAAATTAGCATGAATGAAAAGGTGTCTTACTGATGGCTTTTGCTTTGTGAGCTGTCCCTTAGCGAGGCGGCACTGCAGCAAAAACCTGAATTAATTGGAAAATTATTCAGATTAAAGAGACTTTCATAGAGTTGAACTGTGTTGGCATCATTTACATTTTATTATCATTACATTTGCTTTTTATTTGGCTTTAGATAAATGGGCATTTGAAGGCGCACTCGCTGCTCAGCAATGCATGAACATTCACTTCCAGTCCCCCACAGTTTAGTTTCAAATACTTTTTCTTGGTTTACCCCGAAACCAAAGTCAAGTATTTACCCATGTTAAAGTCACCATTTTTGTTCCTCATTTGTTTTCCATTCTTGAGTTTCCTCGTTGCCTCTGTTCACTTGTTCATTTTGTCCATCCATAAAAAGCAGCCATTATTTCTCCCCCCAGGCGAGAGACGACGATGGCCTCGGTGGGAAATTACTCCAGCACAGCTTTACTCAGGACACGCCCAGGCTTGTCTTCAAGACAAACAGCGATGTGCTTGTAAGGACCCTAACCACTTACCACCAGATAGCGCTTCAGCTTGATGTCTTAATGCGCAAAAATGTTTTCATCTTCTTCTGCATTAACGGAGGACCATTTTCCTGTCATGTCTTCCACAACAACATCTTCATCGTAGGATATGATTAAAAATGTCAAATTAAGCCACTTTTATTTTGCAAGATCGGTATTACACTGAACCGTATGCATGGCAAAGTGGAAATCTCCGATGGAGTAACAATTTTTGCTGTCAATCTTACAGGCTACTGGGGTGCCTGTAGTTTGGCATTTTCCGAGGTTAAAATGCCATCAAAAATTGATGAAAGTTGTAGTGTGCCGCTATGTTCGGCCTCAACTCGGCTATGAGTTTTAACACGTTTCCTATGGTGTCACACCACCCGCACGTTTACAGGCCACCCGTTAACTGACTGCAGTTGTGCTGCGTGGATCGAGTCTATTCACCAGGAAGTGATGCAATAATAATGCAGACACTAAGAAGTGCAGTGGAACCTCCAGGTGGAACACAATCAATTCAAATGATTAACCTGTCTTGATATCAGCATATTTCAAAATAAGCACATGCTGGAGCCGCTAGATGGAACATTAATTGTCAAATTGTTGTTTACATCTTACATTGCATTTACATCTTTAAATTTGGGAGTTTTCTCATCCCTACTCATTTGTTTGTCCTTCCTGTACATTACTTTAGACGTCTATGGTTGGGGAAATGTTGGATCTGTCATTTCAACAAAAACACACTTGCAGTTGCTTTAGATCAGGGGTGTCAAACTAATTTTTGTCACGGGCCACTTTGGAGTTACGTCTTCCTTTGGAGGGCCGACAGTGAAACCAAAGAAAATGTTGTCTTATCGCATTACTACTTTTACAGACCGAATTCGATGGCTCACTAGTTTTGAAACCAGTCACCTACAATAGTCAATTATTGTTCAAGTGGGTGTAAACAGAGTAACAAAGTTATTGCAAAATCTCATAATTTATTATATATGACAATTTGACATTTTGGTACAGATTTTAGCAAGGATCATGCAAGTTGACATGTGATTTTCTTTCGGGGGGGCCACATTAAATGGCGTGGCGGGCTGGATCTGGACCCCGGGCCTTGACTTTGACACCTGTGCTTTAGATCATTATTCAAGGAAAAAAGATATTCTTCATTGACCTTTTTCACTGCAGGCATCAAAAGTTAACAATTGATAACATTACTTAGAGCTCAGGTTTCATGCAAGCATCCGAGGAAGCGATTCTGACAGTATTGACAGTTTAAAAAAAATGGAGGAAAAGGGTACCCGCTGCCATCTGGAAAAACGTGAAGACCCCCTAAATGCATATCAGACAATTTGACGAACAACTAAATTCAACGGCCACTGTGACTAAATGGGCTTTTTGATTTCGTTTTATGTGTTTTGCAATGTCACTCACCCAGGAATCAAAGAAGCGTTTTTAATGACCCGGTATAACATGAAAATAAGGTGTTGCAAAACATTTTCTTGTCAATATTTGCAGAGCACTGGAGCCAAGTTTGCTTCGCACAGCCCCTAACACAAAGAACAGACAAAGGATAACAGGGACAAGCAAAGACAATTTAAATGTTCCCAGCAAACAAATAGCCGCATGAGTGCTCACGTTTGTTGTTGCTGAACTTTAATTTTCGGAGGGAATACAATGGCAGTATTGTAAACCTGTAAATGAGATGGTGGAAGGTGTTAGCGTTCATAAGTACCGGTAGCTTATAAATATGAAAGGCATATTTCTTAAAGTGGATCCAACATTGGGCAAAGAGAGTTTAAATGCAAATAATGTTCCTTTGGATGTCATAGCTTTCTACCTAATATGGCTTAATTAGTTCCCAGTTTCATCATTCACTTTGTACTCCAATGGATGTGTGCTTTTTCTTATCGGGAAAAATAACAAAGCAATTATGTCAGTTCAGAAATGCTCGGACAAAAGAGTTAAATGCGGAGCTCATTTGAACTCCTTTCCTTATCAAAACAACGGCACTTAGGCGTTTGCGCCGTTGTGGCTGTGAACACAACTGACTTGCTTCTTGGCCAAATGGGAGGGACTTGACTCATTTCCTTTAAATTCAGCGCAGGAGAGGCACACGGTCTACATGGCCGAAGTCGATACTGACTTATTGGATTCCATGCCGGATCTCGACGTGTGCAAAGTGTATTCATGAGGAACTGCGAGAAGATATCCACTTGCGCTAGATGTAAATTTGGCCAGTGTGATCACAGATCACCGCTGTGAAGTGAGCACGTGCAGACCATCTTCCAACCTGATTGTTTGTGTCTGTATGTGCCCCCAATGAACCCCTCCCCCCACCTCCCCTTCCCCTGCCCCTGCCCGAGCTTAGTCACAGCCACGGTGGTGATCTTAAAAAATATATTGAAGATGATAATAATAATAATAATAATAATAATAATAATAATAATAGTAATAATAATGGCAGCTCGTTGGGCCAGTGGTTAGCGCGTCGACCTCACAGAGCGGAGGTCGTGGGTTCGATCCCGGCTCCGGCCTTCCTGTGTGGAGTTTGCATGTTCTTCCTGGGCCTGCATGGGTTTTCTCCGGGTACTCCGGTTTCCTCCCACATTCCAAAAACATGCACAGCAGACTGATTGTGCACTCTAAATTGTCCCTAGGTGTGAGTGTGAGCGTGGATGGTTGTTCGACTCTGTGTGCGCTGCGATTGGCTGGCAACCGGTTCAGGGTGTCCCCCACCTACTGAAGACAGCTGGGATGGGCTCCAGCACCCCCCGCGACCCTTGTGAGGATAAAGCGGATCGGAAAATGGATGGATGGATGGATGGATGGATGATAATAATAATAATAATCATGATAATATGTTCACTGAATATGATAAATGATTAAACGTGAAACTCAAGAGAGAATAATAAACAGCAGCTCTTTATCCTCAGTCATCGGGTCTTTATTTAGCCTTTAAGTCCCTGAGAGCTCCTCTTTTCTCTCGTCTTCCTGCACTTCCTCAACAACCTTAATATCAACGGCTTCTTGACATTCCTTTGCACAAAACCTCCTCATCTACAACCTGTTGGCCAGGGTCTTTTTTTCTTGTGAAATAGCTAACGGAAATAGCTGTTAAAATAAATGCTCACATCCAATCTTTTAAATCCACTGTCATCGGATGACTGGACTAACGTAATCGTTAGGTTTCGTCTTGAGGTCAAGTGGGAGAGTCAGTGAAGTCTGGCTGGCATGACCGTGTGGCAAAAAGCATGATAATTGCTGTAGTGCAAATGGTTAAACTGCGCCACTGATGTCTGGTCCTTGGCTGTGGTGGAAATAAATGACCGTAATTAAATTGAACTGCAAACATCTGTGTGCAGGATGTGAAGAGCACAACTCCATTAGCGTAATGTGCAGTGGAGTTTGACTCGCAGCGTCTAGTTGTTAAGTGCTCTCCATCTGTATTTCTGAGTGAAGAAACATTTTAGCACATTTATAATTGAAATTTCTTTGACTTACCGTTAAAAAGAAACATGACTTTTTTTTTTTTTTTACTTCAACTTAACCATTACTTACTGCGTTAAATTGCCAGTGACTTTTGTAATATCTTAAAAGACTCAAATATTCGTGCGTTTTGCCACATTTATGATCTTCACAAAGTGAGCAGTTACAATTTTTTTTGAGTAAATTCCCATTTAAATTATGTTCACTAAACTATAAAAGTTAATTTGGGCTTTTTGATAAACACATCTTGGATGACCCTGATGCCTACTCATTGTCATAACAGCATGTAACTAACTCATTATGTCGATTTTGATTTCATGTTTTGGTTAAAAAGTGTCTCCTCTTTGTTACATTAAAAAAACTAACAAACGTTTAGAATAATGACTGGATCCATTGATAAAAGGGGCTTTTTTAAAATTTTTTTTTAGCTTGGCTGGATCACATTCAGTTCTGACCAATTGATAATTCCGTTACAATTCAGAAGACAGATTGAGTGTGTTTTTCTCTCTCTTAGCTACTGCCAAAGAGGACGGGGCCAGATAAACCGATGTTGCAGTGCTGCGGGTCTAAAATAGTTTTTCCACCGCCTGCTTATTATTATTCAGTACCAGGGATCTTAAGGATGTGTGTGATGGATGGTTGTCGTTGAGAGGTCTGACAACTGATTAATGCCTTAATTATCTCCAGTAAGGACCAGCCACTCCTCCCAGAGCTGACAGAGTGAGCTGTGTGTGGCCTAACAAGTAACACTCTGTTTAGGGCTCGCCCACAGCTATCTGCTCTACCGGGGTCACATTCATTCTCTTCCCCAAGAAAAATGTGCTTGCTTTGTTTCCGAAAAGGTGCATAACAGTGATGAAAGTGGGCAGCAGGTTGTTCAAGGGTTAGGGACAAGGACAGGCACTGAGAATTTAGACACTTTTAATTAACTCCAGTGCGACGTCAGTGAAGCATTGAGAACTTTCTGAAATTGAAAATCAACTTTAGTTATGTGTCATCATAAAAGGTTTGATTACAAAGTAAGAGAGAGAAAACTATGGTAATATGAATACAAAATGAAAGTACTGTCGTGACTGAGCAATAGGGTCCATTGGTTGGCTAATGTCGCACATGACGTTTGAATGTTGGGATCAGTTTCAACCAGTGGTGGATGCTGGTCTGTCAAGGAGGTGAAGCTCAATTTCGGCCTACATCATAAAATGTGTCCGTTTATTTATACATAGATTCTACTCTCCGTTCCTTTTCAAGAAAATTATCTGTGACCCTGTCATACCAACAAGGCGTCTTTTCCAGGGACTTAACTAGTGTCCTACAACTCCAGCAACTACAATAAAACCCACCAGAAATAAAAGATTAATTCGTCGCGAGTCGTTTTCAACAAAGACAGTGTCGCTCAGACGATTAGAAGAAGTCTCCAGTTCAACTCAGAACAGAATGAGAATTGAAAAATGCTCCCACGATGCCTACACCAAAAGATCGGTGATTGGCTCATTTCGCTGTCAATCAAAAAGAGATTCAGCCTCAGACAGATCATCCAATCATCATGCAGAAAAGCTCAGCGTCCGGGCCAGCTCATAAACGCCCACTGTCCATAGACTCCCAGAAACGCTGAGCGTCCGATGGGCGGGACAAAACCAGCATTTATCCAATGACTCGTCTCGTTTCAATGCATTGGGACAACCTACTCAGAACTCTTTAGACGCCCAGCGTCCGCGCTGTAGATGCGCAGCGTCCACACAGTTTACAGCACAGTGAAACTACGGGAATGAATGTGAAGAGAGTCGCATCGTAACCAGTAATAAGAAGCTGATTCAGAACAAAAGTTGAGCGCGTTGTAGTGCATATTTAGTCAATGACATGTACACACAATTGTATGTACACACATGTATTTGATCACTTATTTTTGGACATTTTAGGGGAAGCTGAGCTTCCCTTGCAGTCTTAGAGCAATCGCCTCTGGTTTCAGCTCAATGTCTCATTCATGATCGCCCTGCCGTTGAGTGATGACAGGTTCAGGCAGCCCCGAAACAAAATGGATGGATGAGAAGCACACAGTTTCATCCATTCGCCTATTTTCTATACCACATATCCTCACTAGGGTTGCAGGCATAGTGGAGCCTATCTCACCTGACTTTTGGCGAGCGACTGGGTACACCCTGGTCGAGGTGCCAGCCAATTGCAGGGCACAAAACACCCATTCAAATTCGCATACGCACCAAAGGACAATTTATTGTCCTCGGTTAACCTAGACTTAAGCGACCTTTTGGACATATCGTAGTGTACTTGTCGGTGTAGTTTTAATACATCATAGCTTTCATCTTTACAAGCATTTTTGTGAAGAAGAAATATTACATTTACTGTCTTACATTCGGCGACATTTATCACCAATCCAACGTAACGACCGGTCAGCTTTGACTCCACTTCACCAATCAAATGAAGCCATAACCCAACACAGAAGAAAAGTTTTCAAGGTGACTAATTTAAATAAAGTATTGCAGAAACAAGAGTCAGAGGAGGCAGAACACAGCTGGACTCACATTCAATCGATCATTACCTTACAGACTACGAAAAAGAACGGCTACTGTGTGTCATGAGCTGAGTTGCCTCATTCCTCTTCTTCTATGTCATCTCTGCCTGGTGAGCCGATTGGGCTATTTCATGAGTGCACGCAAAGAAATTTAAGACCATTTCTTTTGGCTGAATTTTTATTTATTTTTTTTTTAGTACTGTATAAGCAATAGCCATCCATTCATCCATATTGTCATCCGCTTTACCTCACAAGGGTCCAAGGGTTCCAAAAACATGCATGGCAGGTTGATGGAACACTCTAAATTGTCCTTATGTGTGATTGTGAGTGCATATAGTTGTTTGTCTCTGTGTGCCCTGGCTGGCAACCGATTCAGGGTGTCCCCCGCCAACTGCCCGAAGACAGCTGGGATAGTCTCCAGCACTCCCCGCGACCCTTGTGAGGATAAAGCGGATCATAAAATGGATGGATGGATGGACTTTTACTTGAGTCATATTTTTATAAAATAACAATATTGCAAACATGAGAACGCAAACGCCACACAGGAAAGACCGGAGTCCGGATTTGAACCTCCAGCCTACATTTTCAGTATTCACATACACAGGCATCTACACAGAAATATCAAATGTTTTGCTGCACAAAAGTCAGGTGAATGCACCAATGCAGTTTCTAAAAATGACAATTGCAAATATTTTACTTGAGAAAATTCATTTTCACTCAGAATTTGTCAGTGAGATTCCATCAGTATTTCAGGCCAGTCGAGTCCGTCCAAGTTGTCAGCGACAGCCAATCGATATCAAGAGCGGACTCATCAGTACTACGTCACACGCAGGTGCCGGATACACGACACGCATACAAATACGCAAAAAATAAAATAACAGCGTTATATAACTTTCAGTCCCACAGACCTCAATGACGTGTTGCATATTTTTTTATTTCACCTTTCACCATGCTGTGCATGTGTGTCTGTAGTTTTTATTTATCTATTTATTTTTATCTGGCTGCGTGTTGGCCTGTGTGGTACCTGTGTGTGATGTAGAAATTCCATTCTCGACTGGCTAATGCCGACGAGAGACGGATTGCACCCACGTGGGTCGTCCTGAATGGGAAGAGTGACGGACTGACAGACCTATTTCCGTCAATCTGACAGAATGCCTATCTGCTATCCACTAGCACGTTCCATATGGTAATCATGCCAATCATGTTTTTGTCTCGGTTGAGGATGTTTTCTCAAGGAGCAATCTGTACTTATTTTAGACTGTGTTTTGTTGGCCACAAGCATACATTCATTTAGTCCTTTTCCGAACCACTTATCCTCACTAGGGTCGCAGGAATGCTGGAGCCTCATCGATGATCAACCATTCGCGCTCACACTGTAGGATAAATTGTTAAGATGTGCATGTCTAATGTTCATCTTGATATACAATGTGCGCAAACATGCACACACACACACACACACACACACACACACACACACACACACACACACACACACACACACACACACACATACATAAACAAGC